AGACCCTCGAGTTCTATACCAACGAAAGTAACACTTTCTTAGAGCAGAACTCGTTCACAGACTATATGTTTAAGTGTTCGGTGCGTCTGGAGGAGGAACGGGATCGCGTCAAACGCTACCTAAATGAACGTCTGTTGACGCCGACCATCGAAACGGTGGAAAACGCTCTCATTGTCCAGAAAATCGATAAATTCATCGAAGAGTTTCAGAAGTTATTAGTCGGCGATAACATCGACAGTATGTCTTAGTTTTTCATTTATTTAAGTGTTTTATTAACTATTCGTATGTTTTGTGTCAGAACTGGCCGTCCTCTACAAACTGGTGATACGAGTGGACAAAGCGATCGTACAGTTGTGTCAGTTCTTCAAAGACCACATCATTAAAGACGGCAAAGAGGCCGTCGAGAAGATCGCCGACAAGGCGTCTGATGACCCGATCCTATTCGTCGAAACCATTTGGAGTGTTTACGATAAGTACAGGAATTTGTTGGAAAAGGCGCTCCAATCGGACGCTCAGTTCTTCAAGTCGTTGGACGCGGTATGCCTTCTCGTGTCTGTAGTGTTATTCATTGATTCTAACTAATGATTGATTGCTTTTATGGTAGGCTTCCATGGATTTCGTGAACATAAACAAAGTGACCGAAGCGTCGCCCATAATGTCTAAGAAAACGCCGGAACTGTTGGCGAAATACTGTGATGTGTTGCTGAAGAACAAAGCCAAGCAAATGGAAATCAATGAATTGGAGACCAAACTGACGCAAGCGGTGACCATCTTTAGGTTCATCACCGATAAGGACGTCTACAACAACTTCTACCTAAGATTAATGACTCAGAGACTGCTTCAGGACACGTCTGCCAGCGCTGACGCTGAGCTCCTTGTGATAAGTAAACTGAAGGTCTGTTTGATTTGTGGTGTATTGTATGGATTGTATTAATGGATGTGTTTGATGTCTAATAGGAAGCGTGTGGTGTAGAGTACACGAGTAAACTTCAGCGCGTCTTTCATGACGTCCAACTCAGCGAAGAACTCAACAAACAGTTCACGAGTGCCGTCAGACTGGACATCGACCTGTCCGTGAAGGTGATCAGTGGTGCGGCGGCGCCCTGGGGTACTGTCAACTACGACTTCAGTCTCCCTCAAGAGTTGGCATCGGGAGTGCAGAGCTATACCGCGTTCTACATAACCAAACATCAGGGTAGGAAACTGACCTGGGCCTACCCGAGGTCCAGGGGCGACGTTATATATCGGTGCAGCGGAAAGGTGTACACATTCAACACCAGTGTATTCCAGATGGCGATTATGCTTTTGTTCAATTCCACGGATCAGTTGCGAATCCAAGACATTGTCGACAGCACTGACATTAAAATAGAGATTTTGGTTCAGATTATGAAAATCTTCCTGAAGACCAAACTATTCACGAGTGCCACACATGAGGACAGTCTCATCGATGAGAGTGTCATTAAACTGAACACACAGTATAGGAATAAGAAGTTGCGAATCAACATCAATATGCCCATCA